CTCATCACATGACAATGTTTGCATCTTTAGTGTTTTATGCAGAGGATATGAGTTCAAAAGACCTTTTTCGTTCATAATTGGACCTTGGATGCAACGAGTGACATCTGAACAGGAACCGTAGTCTTTGTGGGTCCAACAACCCCTCTCCTTGACATTAACAGTAACAACACTTGTGTTTTTAGATGTCTCTAAGGCAGCAATACGCATAAAAAAACATCAAATTCCCAGATATTCACACATCTTCACGTAACTTTTTCAAACATTTAGTCGACAATTTAACTCTGCAAAGTTTCTCTGAGACTTCGACTGACTAAATAAAACATATATTATTCAAATTAAATGAGTTTTGTGCAGAATTTGCAGGTTTCAGCTTCTACACGTTCACATTTTGAAGATGAGCTCAGAGACGTTGGACGTCTACGGACGTCTGGATGCGTGTACAATCTGCACTCTGGAGGGATTTCAGGAAAAACAGAACTTTTAAAGTAAAAAGAGGCACGTTGAGCGAAACAAGACAAAATTATACAACATTTGATGTACTGTACAGTATAATCTGTAAAAATGTACAGATTATAAAAATCAAGTTTAGTTGCAATAATTTTGGAAAAAAGCAGGCAGCTCAAAAGTTAGTGACATCGTGTTCTATGGCAAAACCTAAAAATAAAAAATAAAAATCACAAAACCTAAGCAGTGACTGTGTAAAAAAAAAAACAGTAAAAAAGGTATTAAATTCCTACTTAAGTCAAGAAATTGAAACATTCGGTAACATGTAAACTACCGTAATTTCCAGACTATAAGCCGCTACTTTTTTCAGACGCTTTGAACCATGCGGCTTTTCAAAGTTACAGGTAATTTATGGATTTCTTTTTTTGATGGTCTAACGAGCTTCATGTCACCCAAACATTTAGCCTCTTCACACCCAGGCACTTACACAGCTGACCAATACATGTCTCTCTTGGGGGGTAGGTCCTCATGACTTAACCTGTATAAATAAAGGTTAAAAAAATCTGACCAACAAAATTACTGAACAGGTCACAGTGGACCAATGAAACGGGGAGGAAGAGGACAGCACAAGTTTGCGCAGGAGGAAGATGAAAATAGCGCTCAATCACTTCCTGGTAGGCAACCAGCCGTGTTACAGGCACTGTTCAGTAAAATCATTTATTCAACGTATTTGTGTATGTATCTTCCTGTGTAACTATTTCAACGTGGACATAGGCCTGTCATGATAACAAATTTTGCTGGGCGATTAATTGTCTCAGAAATTATTGCAATAAATAATAATATTGTTTGAAAATTGACAATAATTAGTAATTATTGCCAAATTTAAGAAGAAACTGTTAATTTTTGTGTGTAGTACCTTTTTCAACCACTGGATGGCAGTATAATACTGTTTCAACCACTGGATGGATAGTGAGTCTCTAAGAAAAATGGGAGGGAGGCCCCTTGACGTGACATGGGACGTTGACTTGACGTTCCTCGTTCCTGTTTTTTGGTTCTCAAAATGGCGGACGCTCTGTGTGGTTTGAGATCTTTAGCATAGCATTTTTCCACACAAAGCCTTTAATAAAAAAAAAAATCAGTAAACAAGTTCTCAGCTTCTTTTTGCAGAGAAAAACTTTTAATCAAAGGCACGGGTTTCAACCGTGAATTTTGGAGCTCGACAAGACGGAGGTTCTTTCCCCGAGGTCGGCCTGTTAGCTTAGCTCGTAGCTTAGCTTCTCAGCTTGGCTGCTTTTAACGATCCAAAAACGCGATTTTGGACGTTTAAAACAAATTTTAAATAGAAAAGAGAAAGGGAGGGGTCAGTGAAGAACACCCGAGTTGAGCCAGGGTCCTCAGTAGAAAATGAGACACCAAGAAGCAAAGTCGATAAATGAAAATAATGTCGATAATTTTAATTTATCGTGCAATTAATTGATTTATTGTTTATCGTGACAGGTCTACATGTACAGGCATGGCTTATAGACAAGCATATGTATACAATTATTATTAGTATTATTTTAATTTAGTGGGCGGGGCTTATATTCGGGTGCGCTCAATCGTCTGGAAATTACGGTATGTTTAAATCATGTTTCTATTCTGATGTATGCTACAAAGCTACAAAAAGTCCTTGGGTTTTCTCACTCATTGTGCCAAAATCTTGTTATCGAGATAGCTTTATTTTTTTCTGCAATTATGCAGATGCCATTTGTTGTACTTCTACCACAAGACATAGCACAATTACAAATTGTGGCAGAACCTGAAGAGAAATAAGCATGAAGGGTAAAGTTTGCTTTAATGCCCATCCATTGGCACCCTTAGTCAATAAGAGCACAAAGATAACCTGCTGAAAATATTATCTTTGGAGCTTCTTGGTTCATTTTCTTGCAGCTACACCACTTTATCTGCACAATACAGAACCCCTCTTTAAAGTTCCCGTCAGAAAATGTCCAGTTGACTTAGAGGTCAAAACTTACATCTTTTGCGAAATCTGCCAACTGGATTCTTACAGCCTTAAAATCCTACTTTACTTGGAAAGGTCCTGGCTCGTTGTAGCTTATAATGGAGATAAAGAAATGAAAAGACAAATTTCTAACACGTCTTCTGATACCCCAGGGAAGACGAGAGAATAGAGAGAGTGGGCTGATGGGAAATTTCTATTCCACATAGCAAACCTGCTAAAGGATGGACACTTCTTTTTTTGGCTCACCCTGTTGATTTTGGGCAGGCAAAAATATAAGTTGTGATAAAAATGTGAGAAAAGTCAAAAGATGTCAAATACTTTCCTCAAAAATCACCAACAACAGGCTCGTTAGTCGACTTAAATTCAAATCGTCTGCATATAGTTGAAGTCCCACAACACATAACGATAAAATCAGACTTTATTCCTGTTGCATTTTATTAATTGTGAAGCATCAAACCACACAAGCAGTTAAACTTAGTTGGGTAATTTTGTAATCACTTTGTCATTCTTTATTGCATGGACATTTGAATAGGCCTGTCACGATAACAAATTTTGCTGGGCGATTAATTGTCTCAAAAATTATTGTGATAAACGATAATATTGTCTGAAATTTAACAATAATAATTATTTGTCAAATTTTAGAAAAAACGTTGATTTGTTTTGAGTGTGATTCGTTTTTTTGTATTAGACTGTTTGAACCAAAGGATGGATAGCTGAGCGGCCTGTCTCTTTAAGAAAAATGTGAGGGAGGCTCCGTCACATGACATGGGCTGACATGGTGTAATTTGAGCTCTTTAGCATTTTTCACACAAAGCTTTTAATAAAAAATCAGTAAACAAGTTCTCAGCTTCTTTTTGCAGAGAAAAAAACTTTTAAACAAAGGCACAGGTTTCAACCGTGAATTTTTGGAGCTCGACAAGACGGAGGTTTATTCCTCGAGGTCGGCCTGTTAGCTTAGCTCGTAGCTTAAATGCTTTTAACGATCCAAAAATGCGATTTTGGACGGTTACAACAGATTTTAAAGAGAAAGGGAGGGGTCAGTGAAGAGCACCGTAGTTGACCCATGTCTCCAGTAGAAAGAGAGAGACCATTAAGAAACGATAAAGCCGATAAGTGAAAATGAGATCAATAATTTTCATTTATCATGCGATTAATTGATTTCTTGTTTATCGAGACAGGCCTACATTTGAAGTTTCCATTTTGTAATAAACCTTTACATGACCCTGATTTTTTTAGACCACCATCTTAACCAGCACTTCCTAAAACAAGAGCTGTTGTCGATCAATGAAAGCTTCCAGGTTAAATTAAACAAATTAAACAGAAATTTGGTTTAGAATAATAAAGGAGACAAGTGAACTTGCTGTGCTGTATTTTTCTTCTAAAGCAGCAAATGTTCAGGCTGAAATTGCGAGCTTCAGGGAAATTACCACTCCAACTATTCCCCCAACAAAGCCCTTATGTTTGAAAGAATTTGTGAAATGGTTATCCCGCTTTTTAAAAAGCTTTTTGTCTTGTAGAGCACTCTACAAGACATGGATACTTCCACAAAGCATAATTTGCAAAAGTAACCACTTTGTTTGATCCTGTGATCCACATTTAAAAATGGTGTCATTTGTGAATGAAAACTGAGATTTGTTAAAACTGTATCCAAAGTGGAGACGTCTAACATCTGCCGCTTTTAATTTATTATTGACAACAAAGCCAACCAAGGTTTTGGAGTAGCAAAGAAGTACAAGCGACTTCACAAATGACTTATGCTACTGTACATCCTGTAATGAGGGTACTCAGAAAAAATAATAAAAACAATGTTTTTACCCAAGTACCCTGACTTTTCCTGATCGTGTTACCAGAAAAATTCATCAGTCAACAAAAAAAGACAACCATTGAGAAGATCTCATCAATGATGTCAAAAAAAATAAAAAGATGTGAGGGCTGTTTACGGAGAATCGTCATGCTAAGCACATCCTTTTGTTATTTTACATTTAATGCCACCTACTGACCGGTTATGTGTATTTCAGCATCCGTCTTAACGTCTGTGTTCTGGACGGACATTCATTTAAATACATTTTAAAAGGTAGTTTTAAAAAATGACTCGGATAGTGCACTTCCTAGTTCCCCAGTGTTTTGTGTCATCTTTACGGACAGATAGGTGGTAATGATTCTTTGTTTCAGCTCGGGACTAAAGAAAATCCCTTTTAATATGAATCAACTCTAAGATCACCAGGAACTGCTAAGTCCTATTTAGATGATCTTTGCTTTAAAGTGGGTCATAATTTTTCTCTCTTCTTTCCTGTTCATGGTGGAAAATCTTTCAGACCAAAGAAGAACCAAAAAGAAAGAAAAAACAAACAGCTCTGATTTTTCTACCAGACACTAATTTTACTAATGAACTGTCTTGTGTGACTCAATAGGTTTTGTACATTTTGACAGGTGCAGACACATTAACTCTTAGGGCAGGGCTTAGTACAAAAATGTGTTCATGTCTGTCACCATTGCCAAACAAACTCGCACACCCATCCACCCCCACCTCCACCAACCCCTTCAGTTTACTTACCATCCTCTGTGGGCACGTAGATATTGAGGTAAAGGCAGTCCTCGCTCTGGTTCTGGATGTATCCCGCCGCCACGTCCAGGTTATCCGTGAACCAAACGGGAAGCATGATCTCTGGCAGCACCCCGTGGACATTCTGCGGGCAAACGGGGGCAAACTGTGTGGCGTTACGGATCTCCTGCCAGGATCCTGGAGCTTCAGGTGGTTGAAAGCGACGGTCTCCAATGGGAGCGGTGGCGTATGGCACACCCAGGTACTGCTCCACGGGGCCTAAAATCTCATTGTTCAAGTCCTTCTTGATGCCTCGAAGCTTTCCGTAGTTGGTGCTGACTATGGGGTGCTTGGAAGGATCCATCCTTTGGCACGAGGCCAGACTGATAAACAAGATGAGGCCTAGAAGACTCATGAGGCACCAGTCTGTCAGGAAACTGAAAGAGCGTGTCCTGGACAACAAAGCCTGACGGCTTTGTTTACTCAGAGTCAAAGGATGAGGGTCCGGGGCTGGAGTCATACTGCTCAGCCAACTGCTTCTAGTTTGTTCTTTCAAAAACAATGTAGACCCAACACGGAGAAAATACAGCGGAGCAAGATAAAACAGCAAATCAGGTGACTGGTGATAGTCAAGACCAGGCAGAAGGTATCGTGGAATATAAGGGTAGTTGGGGGTCTGGAAAAAGGGGGGTGGTGTCTTGGTTTGAAGTCCAGGTCAATGATGAATCCAGTTAACAGCGATCCGAAACGCTTTCCTAACCATGGTTCTGTTACGTTCCATACTGATCCGTCTTCTGCTATCCAGATAATTGGATTGATGACAAACTCTGCAGTAAGAGACAGGAGGAGGAGGGAGGCGATTTAAGAGGGTGGTGATGAAGAAAGATGAGGGAGAAAAAGAAAGACAAGCGGGGTTAAAGCATAGCTGAAACACAAATAGTTCCTTTAACTGCTGCCAAGTTGAAACAAGAGACAATAAAACAAATAAAACAAAGATGAAAGCCGTGAAATAAGACTTTTTAAATCTAGAGGGCGTTAAGGTAGATTGAGTGAATAGGGTTCATTTTGGGAACACTTTGTGGTAATCAGCACGTTTCACTTCACAAGACCAAAACATTTCTCAAACTTGTAAGAAAACAAAATAAACTTGTACAATATACAATACGTGTGAGACAATTTTTATATTTTTGTGAGGAATATTTCATTAATGCTTCATGCAGAATGGACATTTTTACAGTATTTTGCCCAGAAACTACAAACTGGACACGTTCACTGCAGGCTGGACCAAATCCTTAGTGATCCGAGTTTAACATGCCAGCTCATTCATTCCTTTATCTCTCCAAACAGATAACACATTCCGATGGTTGTTGCACCATGACGAGTCTTCAATGGACAAAACCGCTACCAGTCCCTTCATCTTTATTCATTCCCCCAAGGCTTCAAGGTTGCTTTTTACAGATAAAAGTACAGTAGACCAGAGTGGGCGAAGACCAGAGATTAGAGCAAGCCTTTCACTGCCCAGCAAGGTCAAAGGTCAATAATGTGCACCAGTAAGCAGCTTATAACAGGCTGGGATGGTTTCTGGTTATACTCAAAACACAAGGATGGTAATACACACACATACACACACACAGGCTCTGTAAGCCTTCACTGACCCACACATGAATGAGAGCCCACGGACAGAATATTCATTCATGTAATCTAATGCGGAAATGTGGAAATCCCTCATGTAACGGACCCAGAGTCAATAAATGCACGAGGAATGGACCAGATTATGTCATCCTAACGTTGTTGTGTTTTGGTCAAGGATATTCAGTACTGACCAATAGTTTTAATTCACACCTAACTTTTTATAATTTCCTTCCAAATTAGTGTTTGTCAAACTCTGTTCTCTGTGGTATTTTTCATAGATTTAATTAAAGGAAAGTGAACAAACTGTACCTTTGTGAAAGGCTGCTAGCAATATGTTACTAGCTAGCAGCTAGCTAGTAACATATTGCTAGGTAGCTAGAGAACCAGCTAGCTGCTAGTTGGCTCTCGAACTAGAGAGTCATTTGTTGACTTGTTAGCCGTTTTTATTTTTTATTTTATTTATTTACAAACCGGATTCCAAAAAGTTGGGACACTAAACAAATTGTGAATAAAAACTGAATGCAATGATGTGGAGGTGCCAACATCTAATATTTTATTCAGAATAGAACACAAATCACAGATCAAAAGTTTAAACTGAGAGAATGTTTCATTTTAAGGGAAAAATCAGTCGTTTCCAAATTTCATGGCGTCAACAAATCCCAAAACAGTTGGGACAAGTCCATTTTTACCAATGTGTGGCATCCCCCCTTCTTCTTCCAACACTCAACAGACGTCTGGGGACAGAGGAGACCAGTTTCTCAAGTTTAGAAATAGGAATGCTCTCCCATTCATGTCTAATACAGGCCTCTAACTGTTCAATCGTCTTGGGCCTTCTTTGTGGCACCTTCCTCTTTATGATGCACCAAATGTTCTCTATAGGTGAAAGATCTGGACTGCAGGCTGGCCATTTCAGTACCCGGATCCTTCTCCTACGTAGCCATGGTGTTGTGATTGCTGCAGAATGTGGTCTGGCATTATCGTGTTGAAAAATGCAGGGTCTTCCCTGAAAGAGATGACGTCTAGATGGGAGCATATGTTGTTCTAGAACCTGAACATAGTTCTCTGCATTAATGGTGCCTTTCCAGACATGCAATCTGCCCATGCCAAAAGCGCTCATGCAACCCCATACCATCAGTGATGTAGGCTTCTGAACGGAGCGTTGATAACAACTTGGGCTATCCTTGTCCTCTCTGGTCTGGATGACATGGCGTCCCAGTGTTCCATAAAGAACTTCAAATCGTGACTCATCTGACCACAGAACAGTCTTCCATTTTGCCACACTCCATTTTAAATGACCCCTGGCCCAGTGCAAACGTCTGAGCTTGTGGAGCTTGCTTAGAAATGGCTTCCTCTTTGCACTGTAGAGTTTCAGCTGGCAACGGCGGATGGCACGGTGGATTGTGTTCACTGACAATGCTTTCTGGAAGTATTCCTGAGCCCATTCTGTTATTTCCTTGACAGTGGCATTCCTGTTTGAGGTGCAGTGATGTTTAAGGGCCCGGAGATCACGAGCATCCAGTAGAGTTTTACGGCCTTGACCCTTACGCACAGCGGTTGTTCCAGATTCTCTGAATCTTTTGATGATGTTATTCACGGTTGATGATGATAACTTAAAAGTCTTTGATATTTTACGCTGGGTAACACCATTCTGGTATTGCTGCACTATCTTTCTGCACAACAATGAAGGAATTGGTGATCCTCTTACCATCTTGGCTTCTGAGAGACACTGACACTCTGAGAAGCTCTTTTTATACCCAATCATGTTGTCAATTGACCTAATTAGTGTTAATTGGTCTTCCAGCTGTTCGTTATATGCTCAATTTCCTTTTTCCAGCCACTTATTGCTACTTGTCCCAACTTTTTTGGGATTTGTTGACACTGTGAAATTTTGAATCAACATATTTTTCCTTTAAAATGTTACATTTACTCAGATTAAACTTTTGATCTGTCATCTATGTTATATTACGAACAAAATATTGACTTTTGCCATCTCCACATCATTGCATTCAGTTTTTATTCACAATTTGTTTAGTGTCTTAACTTTTTTGGAATCCGGTTTGTATTTGTTTATTTATTTATTTGTTTTTTTCAAAGATATCTTTGCTACATGCAACACTGGTTCATCCCTTGAGTTAAGGAGTTAGTTTTAAGCCAGAATGATTCATGGGTCAAAGTCAAGTAACTTAAACAAGAAAAAAAAAAACATTATCTGAAATTTGTCAAGCCTTAACAGTAAATAAGTGAAAGCAGCAGCCATAGTCTAAAGATGAAAACAAGATCCTTAAGGACTACTAACTGAGATGAGATAAGAAACACATTTTAATTAAAAAAGAATAAAGAAAAACATTTAAATAGGATTTGTACAAGGGGTAAAACAGATTTATGTGTACTGAAAATTCAGGTTTTTTTGTCTAGCACCAATTCACAACAAATGTCAACTCCGGGCATGCAACTAAAACATTGACATGCATTATAAAATGCAAATTAGTAAAAGTTATCTCTCTCTAAGGAAGCCAGCAGATTGTGCTGAATCTGCACTTTGTCACAAACTCCCCTCCTGAGCAGCACAGTGGTGACAGTGGAAAGGAAAAACTACCTTTTAACAAAAACGTTCTAAATTCCATTTTGAGTTCCCTGTTTACAACTTTGGAAATGAAGCAGACGACGCTCTGTCACTACAAGGTTTGGGTGTGCAAAACACAAGTTACTAATAATAATGTTGTCATCATTGTATGTTCCCATACAATGGCAAATTTGTCTCTCTGCATTTAACCCATCCACCCCCAGGTGGAGCAGTTGGCGGCTATTGGGGGTGCCTGGGGAGCAATTGGGGATAGGGTGTCCTGCTCAAAAATACCACGAGATGTGCAATGACTGGGGATCGAACCTGGGACTTTCGGGTCCCAAGTCGGCTGCATTGCCTCTCAGTCCCCCCAAAAACTAGAAAACTACAACTACAAAAGTTAACGGCAGGATGCACAACTACAAGTTACTTTAATCTACGAGTCATCCAAGACTTCTGCTTTTGCTTCCACAAAGAATGCACATTAAGGTGGGCAACAGTTACCAATACCCGAGTGCTACATCACCTAACTGGTAGATTGAAAGTCATGTTTTTCCATCTTGCCTCACTTACAATAACATCTGACAGAGCAGATCCAGAAGACAGTGTGGACAGAAATTAGAGAGATGCGAAGACACAATTTTACACTCAAAACAAAAAGATCTCATCTCTACTGTACCGAAAGCAGATCAAACCATAGCTGTAAAACCAATGAAGGTATTAAACTGTAATCTCAGTGCAACGCTACATCCTTCACAAACACGCGCACAGCAAAACACAAAGTACAAAGAAATAATGGTCTTTTTTTATTCACTTTTGCACATTCCTTTCTCGGCTGATGGCATAATTATCCATTTTAGTGCCATCATTAACGGAGCTATTGCCTTACGTACGTCCAATGAAGCACTTCTGTGTTTTTGCTGTTATTTCCCTCCACCTCTCCAACTGCCATTAAAGCCATTTGAAAATGAAAGTATGAGAGTTGGGTATCCCGAGGCTAGACAGCAGATAATTGGAGTCTAAAGACTGATGAGCAGATAATACAAATGAAGCTCATTCGTGTAGCAGTAAAGTTTATGTATAACAAGCTCTTTGAGGGAAGGATATCCTTGGAAAAGTGTGGTGAAAACAGATTCCTTCGGACCGTTATAATTGCTACCCGGTCCGTAGCGTCTGTAATTGCTCATTGTCTCCTTGTGCAGGAGTGGGTTCTGACTAAAAATACTGGCGTCAGCCGTTGTTCTTCTCAATGCGGACTTTTGTACTGCCCACGCGTCCATGTGTGTCTGGATGTATACATGCTCTCAGAGAAGCGAGGCAGCACAACGCG